GAGAGAGAGAGAGATATTTATGCTTGGTGTGCCAATTGTTTTATGCCCAATGTTTTCATCCCAATGTTTTCATCTGGGTGAATATGGTCCTAAGGTTTGTGTTTCCAAAGAAGTGATTCAATTCAAAATATACTTCTATGCAGTACATATTCTAAATTCATTCTCAAACTTCTACCCACTGTTCTGACTTACGCAGGGTGCAGTTTCTTTTGAAAGAGGAAATACATTACAACGATCTCGTGCCTTCTATTGATGATAAAGTCACATTATTCGAGGAAAAATCAAACCTTTCAAGTTTTACGAAGGAAAAGGCCATTTTACCTAATGCAGGGTCAGGTTTGTCTAATCTTTCTTTCTTTTTTCCCCCTTTTTTGAGTTTGATATATTTTCCAGTTTGATGCTTAAGAAGCACACTTTTTGATATATCAAATGGTTGATGGTTAAGTTCAAGAACTTGCAATGATGTGTTGTGCCTTGTAGCCCGTGCATTTCTAAAGTATGCTATATTTGTGATGTGTAGTGGGTGCTATGGGGCCCAAGGCTATTAAAGAAACCTGTAATGCACTATTATGGACCTCATTCCCATTGTGGAGACTGCATGTTATAATAATTCACATTGGCCAAAGATCCATGCACCGTTAGAAACTCAGTATGTACCAAATGTGTATAATATTCTTTTATATTTGATGAGTTTCCTGCTGTAACTCCTATCCATGTTGATCTATATTGCAACCCCCATAAGGGATCCATGTGTATATACAGGGCACATTGCCCCATGTTTTGGATAATGTGAAAAGACATCTGTATTTACTCAAACTTGTGCTTGACTATTACTCTATTTACCTATTCTCTTCTTCTCTATATCTTAACATGCTATCAGAGCAAGGCTTGAAACCTTAGGAAATCTTCTATTTCCAACAACCCTATAATCATGATTTTTCTTCCTACTTGGGCTTGAAGCTTTGATGTATCAGCAAAAAAAAAACTAGGCCTTGTATGCTTTGCTTTTTTTTTTACCACACAAATCATATCACTATATTCCATACCTTTCTCGCCCAAACAAACCAGAACAAAAGGGAATCTTTGCAATCTTTGAAACTAAGGAATTAGTACCTTGCTAAATGACCCTGTTAGAGAGAGAAGAAAAATGTCAGAAATCAAGCACAACATTTCCTTGCGAAGTGGTCAACCTGACTACCTAGGATTGATGATCACCACAAATGTGCTAAATGGGACAAACTATTTACAATGGTCCCAATCTACGAATTTATTGCTAGTACGGGCAATAAAGGTTGTTGGAGTTTTTTTAAATTTAATACCAGGCAAGCACCACTACAGCTACTCACGACTTGTATGACTGTGCAATCTCTTTTGAAGTGTTTTTGGAAATCCATTATTGAATACAAAACTTAGGCCTTGATCTTTCCCATGAAATCACGATGATACAGATTTTCTCTTTGATAACTCAGCCCTTCTTCTGTCCTTGTAGACTATAATGTTTCTTTACAAGCAGAGAAAATACAATGCAGCCAACCCTGACATTAGACCTCTCTTCTGCAGCAATATGCAGATGTATGGAAGCATAAGATCTCTGACTTGGGCTAGAGTCACCTAAACTAGGCCAAACAGATTCAAAGCATAGGACTATATGTTAAATACGAAAGAACAATGTAGGAGCAAATGACTTATTGCTTCTGCAGCATTTTTGCACATAATGCTTATAAATGGCAGGCCTCTTGGAATAAGTTGTTCTTCAGTTTGAGCTTTGTAGACGATTGCTAGCCAGGTAGCCAATGGAGGGGCTCGGGTCAGGACACCAGGTTGACCACCCCCCCCCCTCTTTTTTTTTTAATTGGGTCCGGCCCTAAAATTAACTACGACTCATGGCCTGGTCCCAGACTGAGATATATCATTGAGGCTTGATCTTTGCCTAAAAATTGAATCGGGTATATTTCCTAAAGCCATGGGTTTATTCAGCTGCACCTCAAATCTTGCCAGAAAATTTGTAAATCGTTCATTTCCACCTCTACAAACATTAATCTTAAAAAAAAAACATGGATCCATCTAGGACCACTTTTTTTGGACTGTCCATTCAAAATCTTCATTGATCTGCCATTTTGGAGCTCAAATTCCACTTTCAAGGCCGGAAATGGATTTGCAGAATATCACCAAGTTTTCTAGCGCCAGGTATAGTTTCGGATGGGACTTTGAAGGTGAGGCCTTATCCAGACCTTGTCCAAATATAATATATGAGATGCACAAACACACACATGCATGCATGCACACACGTGCACACACACACAAATTCCTCCTGGCCAGGCCTAGGCCCCGCCCCAGTATTTTTGTGCCTAGCATGTTGGACCCCACCTGGCCTGCGGTCCTTAAAAGTGTGGCCTGAACCCAATCCTACTGCTAACCATGTGAATGATTGTGTGTTGTGTAGCCCTAGGATTGAACACAGCCTACACATGACTGGGTTAGGAAGGCTCAGAGTGTCAGGATTGTTGCCTTGTGGTGTAGCACACTCTACTTGCCACTGGTTAGGAGCACCACTCAGAGCTAGGATCTTGTGCATAGATCTAATTGAGAAGTCCCCTTGCCTATCTGGTTCCCAGATCAGCCTGTCCTCTCTATTTGGTATGAAATTGAAGCTATGTAGCTCTTCTTGTAACTTAATGAACACTTCGAGTTTGTTTTGTTCAGATCCCGGTGGATGACTGGGATCTAAACTGCTTTCAAGGCAGAAATTTCAACTGTTTCAGCAACCATTATGTTTAGTCTAAGAGCCAGGAAATAATATAGTTTGGGTTGTTCCTCTCTAAATGGCCTCTTCTAGATCAATTTGTTGATCCAGAACCATGTGTCTTTGCCGTCATTCACCATCATTCTTAAGCCGCCTACAATCTTGGACTGACAGTTATTAATGCCTTTCCAGATTGTGGCTAATTTGGCTTTAATGATCTGTCATAAATCTCTCTGAGTCATCCAACCCCATATTTAGAAGCCAACACTTGCTGCCATAATTGCACCATCTGGGTACCAAATCCCTACCATCACTTAGTTCAAAAGGCAACATTCATCAGCCTAAGACTTTTGAACCCTAGACTCCCTTTTTGGTGTACATACTCTCGGTCGGCTCATAAATGGACTTTGTGCTTCTCCAAGTATCCTTTCCATGAGGAATTCCATATTGTCTTCTCTATAGCATTTTCAACCGAGGCAGGGATTGAAGAAACCAACATAAAGTATAAGTTGGTGAGGGTCGCTGTGGTTAGAGTAATGCTGCTCCCTTGTGATAAACACCAAGTCTAGCTTCCTTTGAAATTTATCGATGGTTAACCCCCCTCACCCCACACACACACACACAAAACAAAAGGAAATAAAATAAAATCAAAACATCTAGCTAGATCGAGGACTGTTGAGAGACTTCCTCTCCTATCAACTTAGGTTTCTCCATATTTACTTGAATACCCAAAGAAACCTCAAAGCATCTCAGGAAAAGCCAAAAACTCTTCATGTGTGCTTCAGTTGTATCATTGGTGAGTTGTAGATGAGAGACTACATGGCCATTCAAAATTACCTCAAAGCCTAATAAGAGATCATCCATTTCGACTCACTGCATCATTTAGCTGAATTTATTCGACCACAATTAAGAACGAAAATGACAACATAGGTCTCCTTGTCTCTTGAGACTTCTGGAGCTAGGAAGAAACCCTTATGGGACCGGTTAGTAAGGAACTAAGGATTGACGAATGGGTGGTTGATAAGCAGCCCTAGATCCACCTGCACAATCTATCATTGAAGTCCATTAGCTCATATCTTCGTCAAGTAAGCCTCAGTCTTCTTTATCATAAGCCTTCTATAAATCCAGCGCACATGGTACTTTGGGAATATTGTTCTTATGCCTTGAGTGAGTAGTAGTTGGTGGAAACGCTTGGGAACCCGAATCATGTTAGGAATCCGAATCGCAGAATCACGGCCGGCTAGAAGATTCTTGTCTTAGGAATCGATGTCCGTACAATCAGAATTGCTAGAAATGAGATTCCTAGTTTTTGAGAATTGTGTTTCGACCAAAATAGATCCAAGTTTGATCCACATATAGAATCAAGATTTCTATCTCCCTGGAATCGACACTCTAGGAGTCAAGATTCATTAATATGCAGAATTGAGTTTCTGACATCTTTGAAATCGAGTTTCTGACATATGTGGGATGGAGATATGTTGTTTCGAATTGTGATTCTAACATATTTGGAATCAAGTTTCCGAAGTATATGGATCAGAGATCCATGCTAGTTTGAGATCGAGATTTACAATAATATGGACTATGGAATGCGTTTGACTACCAGGAATCGAGATTTCATTTTTATGGAGAAGGAAGCCAGAGCCACAAGCACATCTTGAGCCTCATCAACTTTGGAACCTATATTGGATGTCTCTTATTAGAAGGTTTCCCAAATTTTAAAGTGATTGTGTTGACTATTGAACTTATGGTCATTGTATACAAAAGACAAGTATTTCTAAATTGTGATTTTGACTTCATTATTATAAAGACAAAATAATATTATGTTTGTGCCATGGTTTTACCTTTAATTGTATGTGTTGTTTTTACCAGTTATATTTTAAATTTAAAGTAAAGGCCATCCAGGGTGGCACAAGTAAAATAATGAAACCCTGCAACCACTACAAGCATTCGAAGGAAGACTTCTACTCCAATTGACGTGAAGTCAAGATTTAATCCTCGCTGAAATCCAGATTCAATATATTTGGGAATGTTTACCCACAATCAATGGGTTCAAGTTTCTAAAGATGTGTTTGATCAAAATTCCGAATTTAAGGAATCAAGTTTCCTTGGTTCCGATAAATGGTTTCTAAAGATATGTTGAATCGAGATTCCAAAAGGAATCGAGTTTTCTTAGTTTCGAAAAATAAAGATGTGTCGAATCGAGATTCCGAAATTAAGGAATCGAGTTTCCTTGGTTCGAGAAATGGTTTCCGTGGAGATTCCTTACTTGAAACGCGGAATCGGGTTTCGAAATCAGAAATGTGAGGTCGGTGGAGAGACTCTGGTAACTATGGTGAGTACATTCACAGGGCACATGGGCACTCTCAAGGATTTGCCTGTTTTTCACAAATGTTGCTTATGGGAAGAAGATAACCTTTTGAAAGACTGTACTTATCCTTGTTTACAACATCCTTGTCTAGGATCTTGTACATGCTGCCAATGTTCAAAATTGGATTAGGCCACCTTGGGGGTTAGGGTCCAGGCAGCCTAGGCGGCTGGGGGGCCATCTAGGCAGGCGCCTTAATTTCTTTGGCAGCCTGTCCATTGAAGTTGGTTCTAGACCCTAGGGATGTTGTTTGAGGAGTTTGGTTGGAAGCCATACCCCACAGATTGGTCTTATAAACCCTTTTTTTTAGAAATACATCCACATATATGATACATTAATTATAAATTTGGTATTCAATTACTAAGAGTCTAAAAGTAAACTAAAAAAGATTAAAAGATACCCATTTCCCAAAATCAACATTCTTCATTATTTGTTCACCAATGCCAATAAACAAGAAAAAATGTACAAGAACAATGAAACAGAAACACAATAATAAACGAAATTCACATTATTTTCCCTTTTTCAATCAAGAGACAAATATAAGACCGAGTGACCAACCAATAAACTATAAAAAATGCATTTCAATTAAGTTATATGAAATTTTATTAATATTGGGTTAACCAATCTTAAAGAAATGCCGTTGATTAGAAATCCAACCCGCTCTTGAATAGGAAGCACAAATTCAAACATAAACTTGGAATTAATTACAAGAACAAAAAACGAACAAGCAAATAAATAAAAATAAAAAAGAACAACAAAAGAAAACCCAACATTCATATTAATCAACGAACCCTAAACAAAAGATTTAAATCCACTAACATTTCAAGAGAAGCAAACTGGAAAAAATCTTGGAAAAGATTTTCAATCTTAAAAAAACAGAGAATCTAAATATTGGAAAAGTTCAAAAAAATTTAAAGCTTGGACAAAATCCTGAATCTCTTGTTCTTTTGTATTTTAGTTTTTCTCTCTAAATAGAGGCAATTTGCTTTTGGGAGTTGCAATGCCCCCCAAAGCCCTTCCCCCCCTCCCCCCCCCTTTAAAGTGGGGGGGAGAGGGGGGAGTACCTATGGCCTTAGTGGAAGGCATTTTCTCCACCCTTTTGCCAAGGGCTTGTGGCACCGCCTAGGTGGGGTCTCAAGCACCAAGGCACTCTTGCGCAGATAGCCTACCTAGCCCCCTTTGGTGTAGCAATACCCCCTGGCCACCTGGGCGGCCAGTCTGGCAAATTTTCAAACCTTGCATGCTGTCCAGCAAACTGGTGGGCCTCGAGTCATTGATATCTTTGGCACCTTCTTCTTTGGTACTAGAGCTGTAAACAATGCATTCATTTCCTTGTTCACGTTGCCCCTATTATAGGGCTCCTTAAACATGGTGAATTTCATCCTTTAGCAACTCCTAGAAGAAAGTTGAGAATCCATTAGGCCCGAGGGCATGATCTCGACCTAGGCTAAAGATGGCCCTCCCAGCCTATGCTGGCCTGTCCTAGGAGTGCCTTTTGAAAGGAAGGTCAAAACGATAGGTCGAAGCGCTTCTTTTCTTTGAATGAGTGCTGAAAATATTTTATAATTTTTAACGTGCCACCTAAGACCTGTATATATATTGACCTGCTATTGTGATCCAATCAATAGAGTTCGACCTTCTATATTTGGCTGTAGCATGAAAAAACTTTGTGTTTCTTTCACTCGCCTTAAGCAGACCTTTGGTGCCAATAGATTTCGTTGTTTGAGACATTCTTGGACTAAGGCTTTGGCCCCCAATCTCGTCCTTTCGTTGTCACTGGACATTTTTGTGGTCTGGAGTTTCAATCTCTTTAAATAGGTTAATGCTGCATTCTAAATTACCAAAGCACTCCTTGTTCCGACTCTTCAACTTCGGGTTCAGCAATCAAACTTTTTTACATATTCTGAAAGCTGCCCATCCCTCAACCTGAAACAGGGCCCCCAGCCATTTCAACTTCAGCTCGAAAGGTAACAGCATGGCACTTCAATGCCAAGAACTATTGGCTTTGGTGGAGCACTCAAATGCGATTCAAGGAAATGGGCTTCTCATTCCGCACACTCAAGGAAGAAATCCAACTTGGGTTAACACTAAGTTGTTGTTTTTTTTTCCTTGTGTAATTCTAGCACTGGTCAGTGGGATCTCCATCAACACATGAGCTGTAATAAACCAGTGAGATCTCCATCAATACATGAGCTGTAATAAAATCTAAAAACTTCCATGCATGCTGTCCTTGTCCCTAAACTGCTACTTTCATACCTTGTCCTGGAAATATTAAAGTCTGCCCAAGACCCCAGGGGAAACTAAACTTGTTGCTAATGGCATCCATTTCCTCACAAAACACACTTCTCTCTGCCACTCTGTTGGGCCCTTATACTCTTGCGAGAACCCATCTAAAGTTGTATCCATGGCCCTAAAAAATTACAGACCGACGATGCCTCTATAGAGGTATCCAAACTTCTCAAAGTCACTGAGTCCCAAACACCCCACATACCCCCTGATGCACCAGTGGCTGAGACAGAGCACCACTCAGCTGGTCTACAACCCCAAAGCACTCTGACTACTTGTGGCTCTGGCATCTGTCTTTAACAAAATCAAGATATCTAGCTCTAGTTTTTTTACAAAATTGTCTTTCTTTATAGGGTCAGAGGGACCCCTAATCATCATTATCATTTTAGCCTTTCCCAAATTAATTGGGATTGGCTACATGAATATTGATTCTCTATTTTACTCTACTAAAGGCCATATCCTCAGTGAGGCCATAAGTCCTCATATCTTTTCGGACTACTTCCGACCACGTCCTTTTGGGCCTGCCCCTTGCACTTTTCAGTCTTTCTACTTGAACTAACTCGCACCTCCTAATAGGTGTTGTACTTGGTCGGTCCCACATATGGCCAGCCCACCTAAGTCTACCCTCTCTCATTGTATCGCCTATTGGTGCCATGTCTAAATTCTCTCAAATAGATTCATTTCGAGTTCTATCCCTTCTTGTCTTGCCACTCATCCATCTCAATATCCTCATCTCCGCTACACTCATTTTTATCCTCCTAACATTCCATCCCATAAAGAAAAGCTGGTCCCATCGCTGTCCTATAGAACTTGCCCTTCAGCCTCATAGGTATGTGGCGATCACTTAAAATTTCAATTGCACATCTCCACTTTGCTCACCCAGCTCTAATTTTGTGTACGACATCTTCCTCGATCTCTCCATTTTCTTGAATTATCGATCCAAGATATCGAAAGTGCGGTCTTTTGGTACTTTTTGGCCATCAATCGTAACTACTTCCTCATCTCTACTCCTATTATTACTAAACTTGTACTCCATATGCTATTATTACTAAACTTGTACTCCATATGCTTTGTCTTAGTCCAACTAATTTTAAAACCTTTGGATTCTAGAGCATCCCTCCAAAGTTCTAACTTTGTGTTGACGTCGTTTCGGGTCTCATCAATTAAAACTATGTCATTTGCAAACAACATGCACTACAGTACCTCATCCTGCAGGTACCTACTGCCTAGTTAAGTCATCCATAACTAAGACAGAGGTACGGGCTCAATGCTAACCCTTGATGTAGACCTATTGTCACTGAAAACTCACTCGTCTCCCCACTAGTTATTCGCACACCAATTACTACCCCATCATACGTATCTCTCACCAAGTTGATATAGTGTCTAGAGACGCCTTTCTTTTCCAGCACCTGCCAAATCAAATCTCGAGGTACTGTATCATAAACTTTCTCTAGATCAATAAAGACTTTGTGAAGGTCTTTTCCCTTCACCCTAAATTTTAATGTTCCATTAAAAAATTTCATGACATTTACATGGGCAGAATTGAATAGATATCCCTTGCAATGCTTTGGGTATGAGGTACCTCCCCTCAAGTTCGGCCTTTGACTAAGGCTTATTTTGATCATAGTCAATCTCACATGTCAGGTTTTTGAGCTCCCTATTCTCTTTGTCCTTACTTTACTGCCTTTGTTGCTCCAAGTAGTCTTACAACCTTTCCCTTTTCTACTACTTTAGGTATTGGCCCAAACACATCAGAGATCAGATCCAACCTTCCATCATCATCATCATCATTATTTTAGCCTTTTCCCAATTAATTGTGGTCGGCTGCATGAATCCTGGTTCTTCATTCTGCTCTATTAAAGGTCATATCCTCAGTGAGGCCATAAGTCCACATATCTTTTCGGACTACTTCCAACCACATTCTTTTGGGCTTACCCCTCGGCCTTTTCAGTCCTTCCACTTGAACTAACTCGCACCTCTTAACAGATGTTGTACCTGATTGGCACCACACATGGCCAGCTCACCTAAGTATACTCTCTCTCATTTTATCGCCTATTGGTGCCACGCCTAAATTCTCTCCGATAGATTCATTTTAAATTATATCCCTTCTTGTCTTGCTACTCATCCATCTCAACATCCTCATATCCGCTACACTCATTCTATGCGTATATTGTTTTTTGTCCTCCCAACATTCCAACCCATAGAGCAAAGCTAGTCTCACCGCTGTCCTATAGAACTTTCCCTTCAGCCTCATTGGTATGCGGCGTTCATATAAAATTTCAGTTGCACAAGATACAACCTCCCATCATGACCCATATTCATGGTGTTGAGCATGATGCTGATCCGATCACTTGACTCCCCGATCCTTTGCTCTTCTTCAAAGTCCACTGGTCTTGTGGCTCGGTCTCCTCATGAATTTATGCTTTTGGAAAGGTGGCAGAAGGTTGGGGGGGTGGAAGGGAGGGAGAGGGGTGCGCGCACACACACACACACACACACACATAGAGTTATGTAACCCTGTTGAAAGATATTCTTTTTGTACTTTCTTTAGGTGGATTTGCCATCAAGTGTTATGCTCATGTGGACCGAGGTGACACTAATGATCCTCGTGTAAGACTAAAACGGGATTGTGTGGGAATAATGGCGGCATTCAAGCTTGCGGATCCTCCGCATCAACTATTTATTATAACAACCACTCACCTGTACTGGTAAATTATCTATATTTTAAGTTTGTAAGCATATCACTGTGACATCATCGAGCTGAATTCTTTCTTATTTTTTAAAAGATGACTATTTTTCTTGTCTTATGACTTATCACTTATGATCATCTTGATGACTTCCACACTTTAGGGATCCAGAATGGCCAGAGGTCAAGATTGCACAAGCTAAATATCTGCTGTCACGTGTGAAGAAGTTTAGGGATGATGTTTCAAAGAAATATGATTGTGCACCTCCAGTCATTATTTCTGGTGATTTCAATTCTCTTCCTGGATCTGAGGTTCGTAATTACTTTGCAATTTTTCCTGCATCTAGTAGCAATCTCAGATTCTTTGGTAAAAACTAAAGTGTTAATGCTTCTTAAAGCTTGATGAGATTGTGACTGGCATCTGAAGCTTTGCAACCTTTTTAATTATACGAGAAACTCACAGAATCTCTTCAAATTGATTCAATTAGGCTTGCTTTGCGAACTCTGCTTGCTTTCTATGCATGAAGTATTGCTTCGTTTTGCATGTTAGTTCTGATCATGTATATAAGCTGGTATATGTTGTTCGTGGACGATATAGTTTTGATCGATGAAACCCCAAGTGGCATCAACACAAAGTTAGAACTTTGGAGGGATGCTCTAGAATCGAAAGGTTTTAAAATTAGTTGGACTAAGACACAATATATGTAATACATGTTTAGTAATAATAGGAGTAGAGACGAGGATGTAGTTACGATTGACAGCCACAACTTTCCAAAAAGAGCGTGCGCACTTTTGATATCTTGAGTCGATAGTTCAGGAAAATGAAGAGATTGTGGAAGATGTTGCACATAGAATTAGAGTTGGGTGGGCGAAGTGGAGATGTGCAACCGGGGTTTTATGTAATCACCACATACTAATTAAAGTGAAGGGGAAATTCTATAAGACAATTTTGAGACCAGCTTTGCTTTATGGGGCGGAATGTTGGGCAGTCAAGAAACAACATACCCAAAGGATGAGTGTAGAGATGAGGATGTTGGGATAGATGAGTGGGAAGACAAGAAGGGATAGAATTCGAAATGAATACATTCGGGAGAACTTAGGTGTGGCTCTAATAGGTGATACTATGTGAGAGAGTATACTCATATGGGCTGGCGATGTGCAGCGCAGACCTAGTACAGTACCTGTTACGAGGTGCGAGTTGGTTCAAGCGGAAGGTTCAAAGAGGCTAAGGGATAAGCCCAAAGGATATGGATGGAAATAGTGAGAAAAGATATGGGGATTTATGGTCTCACTGAGGGTATGACTCTTGACAAAACAGAGTGACGGACCAGGATTCATATAGCTGACCCCAAATAGTTGGGAAAAGACTCTAATGATGATGATGTATATGAGAATAGCCAAGCATGTTATTGCTTATCATGTATATGAGACTGGGAGGGAGTATCTATGTATGTTCATACATGTATATGTGATTGTATACATAATGTAAGCATATGTTTTACAGTAGTTTCTATAGCTTATCATGCTTCTATACACAATGTAAGCATATGTTTTATGGTAGCTTCTGTAGCTTAACTTGCTTGTATACATAATGTAAGCATATGTTATGGTAGTTTCTATAGCTTAACTTGCTTATATACATAATGTAAGCATATGTTTTACAATAGTCTATAGCTTAATTTTTTGAGAACCAGAATACCCCATTCTAATGTTTTCCATTTTCTTTGAGATACCCATCATTCTTGATCTCTGAGTCCCAAAATTGGGAATGCATGATTGTGTTTTTGTACATTCTTTATATGTTGTTTTCAGTAGCTTCAATTTCTTAAAATTGCATAATTTTCATGTTCTGTGATTTAAGCAAGATCCTTTGATATACAGTTATAAAATTCATCAAAAATTGTCAGAACTATTTATGGATCCAATTTCTTATATCAATTTTACTCTACAAACACCTGACTCTCTGACTCGTGATTTTAAGTGTCGTAAGTGTGTGTGAGAGAGAGAGAGAGAGTGAGAGATAGAGAGAGAGAGATAGATTAATATTTGGTTGTCTAATTCTATTTTTCTTTTATTGATACAAGCCTATTATCTCTCATGGCACATGAGTAACCTGAAAGTATTTCTCTGTATTTCAGGTTTACACGTGCATGTTATCGGGAATGACGTCCACTTCAGAGGGAGAAAGCCAACTGCCACTTAATAGCCTCCATGCATTTCTAGGAGGAGAACCAGCACTTACAACTTGCAGTCCCGACTTCACAGGAACACTTGATTACATCTTCTTCTCAGACTCTGATAGCTTGAAACCAATCAGTTACATTGAACTCTCAGGGCCAGCATCTTCTGCTATGAGTGGAGGCTTCCCAAACTACCACCACCCGAGTGATCACTTACCCATTGGTGCTGATTTCAAGCTTTTTCCATGAGTCAGGTTCAACGTCATAACAAGTATAAGTTTTTCTGTGAGCGAGATTCTCTGGCTGTGAGAGATCACCCTTCATTGATCTTTTGTTGGGAAACGGTTCCTCTATCTTCTTTTGATAACTTGGGTGTATACCCTGATACTGAACTTGAATTTTTGACAAATGCATTACGGATTCATGATTTGTTCATATATAACTCATGACTTCCTCTGTGTGCCTTAGGAATTTTTGCGGGTACCCTTTTTTTTGGTTCGCGTCTCACGGTTAACACCCAGTTTGGATAAGCCTCTAACCGATGTTATGGCCTTATGGGTTTGACTTCACTGCAAACGTGGTGGACAGCAAGCTTTGGAGCCTTTTTCTTGTGCAGAGGAATTTTTATGAATGGGTAGGCACAGCTCCTGTTATTAGGAGACCTTCTTCCATTTTTTATTGCACTTCCAAATATTGTAAGTACGTTGTGTATTCACTAAAACACAACAAACCCAAAACTTAGTCAGCTTCCAAATCAATGTAGGTAGCTTTGGCTTATGTCTAGCCTGTAGGGATATGACTGTCTTTTTTACTTTATATAGAATGGATTTGTTGCTCTTTTATCATTCGGGTTTCCCAGCACTTCCCCAACTGTTTGATGTCAGCAACGGACGGTTGGGATTTCTCATTCCACTGCTTAGGATTTGTTGAATTTTTCGACAGTCTTTGAGCAAAGAAATGAGATGCCCAACCCAACCATCCCTTGTGGGCATCTGGTGGTTGGGTAGGTGCTACAAGACTGTTTGAATCCAAATGATTGCTTTACAAGGCATCGGTTATAGAAATTTCTTGTTAAAGCCTTTGTTTTGGAGTGTTTCAAACTTAGTCGTTAGCTTTTGGGGCAAACTTATGGTTCGGTTCTGTACAAATAAACTGTTCTGTGACCTGAATGTTGTGTTGTGGTCCTTAACGTCTCAACCATGAGGCCATGAACCACGACGTGTGTAATCTTCAATTTATTTACAGAGAATACCTTTTGCCCTCTCCCCAGAAATAATTATGGAATGTTAACTTTGTCATTCACCAAAGCCGAATGCTAAAAAATACTTTCGGGGAGGGGGGTGCTTTGGTTTGGATGGATATTTAAGGCTCTATTAACCAATAATTAGTCGTACAAAAATGCCCTGCTGCAGTGGTTATTTTAGCATTTAGCATTTTATGATGTCACTGATGAAAATTTGCTTTTGAAAAGTGCTTTGCACTATTTGGTTTAGCCACTTGCTTGATGGTGGTGTGCATTAGAGGGCAAGGTTTTGTTTGAAAGTTATGGTGTAGGATTACATCATCATCATCCAAGTCTTATCCTAACTATTTGAAGTCAGTTGTACGAACTTGTTCTGTCTGCTCTATCATGGGTCTTACCTTCAGTAAGATCATAAGTAACCATATTTCTTCTCATTACTTTCATTCATATCTTTTTGGGCATTTCTTTTGTCTTTTTAGAGCTTTCCACTTAAAACAAATTACCCTTCCTAACTAGTGTTGTATCAGGTCTATCTTGCATATGACCAGCCCATTTAAGTATACTTTCTCTCATCTTCTTACCTATTGAGCCACCTCTAAATTCCCTAATATGTTTTCATGAAGAATTCTATCATTTTTAGTTTTGTCACTCATCCATCTCAACATCATCTTAGTTACACCCATCTTATGGATAGGTTGTTTCTTGACCTCCAACATTCAGTTCCATAAAAGCATGGCAAGTCTTACAACTGTCCTAAAAAACTTTTCGTTCAATTTCATTGGTATACGATGATTACATAAAATTCAATGTGCATACCTTCACTTTGCCTACCTAGCTCTAATTTTATGTACAACATCTTTTTCAATCTCGCATTCCTAGATTATCGATTGAAGACAAAAAGTATTGTCGTTTAGGTATTCCTTGGTCATTAATCCTTAGCACTTCAGTTCTACTTCTACTATTATTAAACTTGTTTGAAACTTTTCAATTCTAGAGCATCCCTCCAAAGCTTCAACTTTATGTTGACGCCGTCTTTAGTATCATCAATCAAAATTATGTTATCCGCGAACAACATACACCACGGTAGCTCATCTTGTAGATGCACAATTAACTTGTTCATAACCACAACAAAGAGATATGGGTTCATGCCCATATAATATAGGATTACATGCTTCTCAAACAATTATATTTTTAACCAATTTCTTATAGGGGATTTTATACAATGAGACCACTTACCTTTGATACAGGGAGGTTACAATTACATATAACCATCCGATGTGAAATTTGATAGCTTGGATGTGTCACAAAGTTTTAGAAAAATTATTTTGAACTTTGAGTTTTGTTAATGCAATAAATGTAACCACTCAATTTCACATCTATTGGTCAAGATTAATTGTGACCACTTTGTACCAAAGATACATGGTTTTATTGTATACTTTTCCTTCTTATAAAAAAAGAGGAGGGGGGGGGGGAGGCGCTTAGTTTTTTTTATATTGTACAGCTATTAGGATCAATTTTAAAACAATCTTCATAACCAACGCCTTAATATTTTACATGGAATATTTTTGGGTAGGTCTACATGGTATTTGTGTCTATTCTCTCAAATGCTGTAAAATGTTTCTACTAGAAATATTTTGCAAGATACCACCGCAGGTCATTTTTTGGTGACTCTGCGGATACCCCATGCACGTGTATACGAAATAACAAATTTGAGAATTTGTATAGAACTTGACTTATTTACGGAAAGATAATAAGACACTCGAATAGTGCCTCCTTTTTAAGGGAGGACCGTGTGGATATGAATGGTACCTTTCAAAGAATCCATTGGAGGGAAAACATGTGGCTTATGGTGTTCTGAATACTCCATTCTATCATATGGGAAAAAGAGAGCAACTAGTGCTTCAAAAGTAACGTGTGACTTGAGATGAGAGTATGTACAAGAGGGAAGTTAGAATATTTCAATAACAAAAATGACTGATCTGGAAATGATCACCATTGCACCACTTCAGCTTGAACTACATGTCTAAGTTTCCATTCTCATTAACACATTTGAAAATCACCAACTATTTCTAAAACGGGTAGGGGCATGTACTCCTGCTGATCTACCCAAAAAAACAAAAAAATGAACCTCCCTTAGCGAACCTCCCTTAGCAAGAGAGACAGCTTCCTTATTAGCTTCCCTAAAGCTGTGGGTTATTCTGTTCTATCTTTGGAAATTGAATGTCTTATTTTATAAAGGATAGGTATGAATTTCCATGGGCCTTGAATCTCCTCTACTCCAAGCAAGGGCATCGGCTGAATCACCCTTTTACAACTTTTCTTTTCCACCAGGGAAGGAAGACAGCAGTCTCATATGTTGAAGTATAGCTCTCATCTAGGAAGACGAGTCTTATTATACGTTTAATAACGGTGTTTTTAAACATGGCTTGGGCCACGCATTTTGCCTTGGCTCGAGCTAAGTTACTCATGCGAGTCCAAATGGACTAGCCTGAGATAAAAGACTCTAAAAGCAGTCTTTCTAAGTGGCCCACTAAGTTACTCATGCGAGTTCGAATGATGGGTTTTCCTCCATTTCTCTCTTTCATTCTCCGTGGGTTTTAAGTAGGACAAAAAATCTATCTTTTAGTTTAGAGATACAGTTGGCAAATGAAGGAGGGAAGAAGGATAGTTCAAGACCCAACTTTTTAGATAGGATATTTTGAGATGTTAGATGAAAGAAGGATACTTATTTGAAGGTTAATAAGTTTTAGAAGGTGAAAGGAAGAGATCATTCAGAGAGAAAAAAGGAGACCCCCCTTACATTTTTTTTAAAAAAATTTATGCACCCTGAGTTATATGCAAGTTGAGGCAACTCGGCGGAGTCCGAATGGAGTCGGCTGAGTTCCATGGCACACGTTTAAACTATCCTCGGTGGTTTGCTGATATGTGATCCCTTGCTATCTTTATCATTTTCTGGCCATTCTGCTGCTGTGGATGAAATTATGCCTTTCAAATCAGCCATCTCCATAATAATCCCATCGAAAGACCTTCTACTCCTTTATTTTCTGCAAACACCAAAGAATTGGTGCCACCAGAGAACTCTACAAAACCATGGTTATCTTGGGTAAAGATCGTTTAACGCATTATTGAAGAAGACGTGGTATTGATGGTGGAATCTGAATATTCAGATAACTGTCTAGACTAAGGCAATGGACTCGACTAGACCCCGGCCCCGACAGGTATACCTGACCTCGGGTCCGGGTATGGGTTCAAAATTTTGGAACCAAATATTATTCGGATCCAAGTTCAAGTCAAGCTCATAGGGTATATGATGGCAATCATGTGTCTTTTAGGTGCACATTAGGGGGCTATTTGAGTACATAGAATCTATTAAGTGGTAATAGATTATAGGGAAACATGACATTGTATACTTTAATAGTAAGGAAATAGAAAGACATTAATAATAAGGAAATGGAAAGACATTATCCGAGATTACTTGAGATTTCTCGAAAATCACGAAATCCATTTGGAGCTGTGAATGGTGAAAAATCTATTACGAGGTTCACGGATAATTTTTGGAAATCTTTTTGCGTGAGTCTCTCTACCCTATCCTCGCTTAAAAAAACATTTCCCTCTCTCAAGTATATGTTGTATAATTATTAAAGTAAATAGAAAGTAAAAGTAGGGATATGAAAAGGCGAATCTAAATTGATTTGAACAGATGTACGAGGATAATTTTCCATCATAATAAAAAATTTCTATATCCCTCTATCCCCAATTTGGTTGTAGCCCTCATCTGACTCTCATATAAAAACAAAAATTTGTAATAATTGGTAAGTGAAAGTAAGGAGAAATCTAAATTGATTTGAACAGTTATAGAACTTGATGAGAATTTTCTATGCAATCATAATAAAAAAATTTATCCCTCTATCCCCAATTTAGGTTGTAGCCCTCCATCAGCTCTTGTACAAAAATAATAAAAATAATAATGGGTAATCGATGAGAAATTACACAACACAATCATAATACAAAATTTCACACAACATAATCATCATAAGAGATTAGTAAAAGCTCAATTGAAATAAGAAACCTCTTTAGTCTCCTCCAAAGTTTTCTACTGCAATTATTAAACCTTCTAGTTTACTAATCAAACTTCTTCCCATTTTTTAACTTGTATCATAAAGATTTTGATTATCATAAATTTATTGCGTATTTGAAATTATATATAGAGAAACATTTGAAAGACTTCTATAAAAAATAAATAAAAATAAGGCTTATCACAATAAAATCATGTTATTCCAATCATATTATTTCAATGACTTATCATGTTGAAACCAAAGTCTAATCATGTTAGCCAAACATAGCAATATTTTTCATATTTGGATGGTAATGCATTTTTTATATTTTTTCCATATATAGCTAAATAGTAGCAATGTATTTCTCAAGTTGCATCTAAATACTACCCAAACAATGACAATCCATTTGCAGGTAATGTATTATGTAGTAATGTATTACGCCCGTAATATATTTCACAGACAATATATTTCCAGATATCAAAACGGCCCCGAGGTGTTCATATTGTTGCAATATTGGCAACATTTTAGCAAAAAATAAAATAAAATC